CTGGGCCCAGGACCCCCATATGCCCGGGGCACGGAGCGGAGTCAATTGGATCCTCACCAACGGGGATCAAAGTGCCCTTGCTGTCGACCAGGATGTGTTTGCATCGAACAGCGCCGATGCTGCCGAATTGCTTGGTTTCCCTGCCGGCAGGTTTTCCCTTGTGCCAGCACTTCCAAGCATTGATGACCATGCTCATCTTGGGCAACAGTCGCACCATGTGCTGATCGCCTGCAGCACCGTCGATTACGACGCTTCCAATCTAGTTGGGCCCGTTCCGTACGTCCTTGACCTCCGACCGATCCTACTGCAGATCGGATGGTCGTATGCCCAGGGCGGACTTGTTGATGTTGCAGCCTTGTGCGATAGACTTGCCGTGAGATGTCCACGCGACCATCATGTACGTCTTTACGGTGGAGCCTTTGCTGCTGACGAAGGGAACCACTATCGACACGTTAGGAGCGGCGAAACCCTTAGGGCCGAGTTTCAGCCCAACTATCTGCTTGCCATCCGATTCCCCGCAGATGCCCCCACCTATGTACACTTTTCCGGCGAGGAGATGAACCATCCAGCTGCTGAAGAAGCTCGGAGAAGCAATACACCATCTGCTACCTCCAGCACTGATGCCGGCACTGGTGGCACCAGAAGAGTACAGCAGGGTTCGGACCATGGCGGTGGCCCCAATCAACGTAGGGTCTGCCAGATTGACATAGCAGGGCAAACCTCAACTTTGAGAGGCACTTCGCCCCATTCCTCGCAGCCCCCGGGAGGCCACTGCTCAAGGAGCAAGACCACCGCGCCTCAAGCGAGGGCGGGCCGAGTTGCCATTGCTGCCCTTGCCGGCATCCTTTGTGTTTGGGCCTTCGCGACCTACGGTGGCGGAAGTGATGCTGCACAAGCTGCCATCCAAGGGATCCTGCTCCTACACGGTGCCCTCAACCGTGGCCGGTACCACCCCTGTGCCCACGTGTTACTGCTTGGGGCGATCCTTTTCCAAGCAAATGCCATGCAGGTACAGACTCATCGACATGGTGCGATAGTTAGACCTGACATTGAGCTGCCGAGTATCTGCACCCAACGCACTCCGTCCACTGTTTCTCATCTCCGTCGGATCCCGACACCCGCACGTGCTGCACACATTCCGCCTGAGGTAAAGGTTGGTCATTTTGACATCAGCGAGGCTGAGCTCCTGCGAACGCTGCTGGAAGAGGCCGTTGCCCAGCCGACCTCTGAAGCCTTTTACCTCTCACGCACCCTCTTAGAGACCCTGCAGGAACACTTTGCAATGCAGGCACACGGCCCCCCACAGGGACCAAGACATGCACAGGACACTGAGGTGCCTGTGTTGCGTCTCGCAGAACATATTGGGCCGCGGTCCTTTGACCTTACCGGGGTCCCAATGAGAATCGGATGTACTCTAGATCATGTCGCCAGATTGATCCACGGCGAACCGCAGGACCTTTGGCCGCTGCCTCAGGGTCTTTCACCAGTCATCGATGCTTGGAGAAGTATATGCCCTTTGTGCACCGGCGCACGCGACTTTGCACGTTGTGATTCTGTCGCCGTGTACACTGATGGGTCCTTTGACGGCGGGACTAGTGCATGGGCATTCCATGTAAGTGCTGGCAGCTCCGGCAACTGGACCTCCCTTGGTTGGATAGGGGACCGGGTCCAGACCGATCCCACAAAACCGAACTACTTGGGAGCTTCGTCTCACAGTGCACTACACGGAGAACTCACTGCTCTGTTTTGGGCCGTGAGTTGGCTTCTCTCTGTCCCAACTTCCGCCGAGATCGTGATCTACTCCGATTGCACCACGGCCATTGGTTTCTCACAAGGATCCATGGGCAAATTTCGTGAGGGTGACATCACTGCTCAGTGCCGGTCGGCTATGCAGGCTCTGCAAGCCAAAGTCGGGTACTCCCGTGTCACTCTTAAGCACATGCGATCCCATGTCGGCAACCAAGGCAATGAAGTAGCGGACAGACTTGCAAAGTTCTGCTGCAACCCCAAGCGAAGCGGAACCGTCTGGTCCACACACCCCATCTGCCAGTTTGTCAGACAATCCTGGCTGCCCTGGCTGTGGATGCTCATTGAGTCGGTGCACTGCCCGGAGGCCTGGCCCCGTCATGCTGTTGATGCGCTTGTTGACTACGGCGCCAAGTATGACGAGCTCCCGACAAATGTTGAGTGTGAGCAGATGCTCGGCCTGTGTACCCAGGCAACGTTCAGTCTCTGCATCCGAGTGACGTCCCAAAAAGCAGTGAGCCCGCAGACCCCCCTTTTCAAGGACGTGCAGGTCTCCTGCGCGAGCAGTTCGAGGAACTCGGTGTTGGAGTTGCTGCGCTTCAGGAGACAAGAGCCCCGAGGAACGAGACGATACAGTCGAAAACGCACGTCAGATTCTGCAGTGCGTGTGACCATCAAGGATCATATGGAGTTGAGATTTGGTTCTCAAAGAACCTGCCACTCATCAGCCACCCCTCCATCGAGGTTAGGTTCCAAGTCGGGGACTTTATCGCAGTCCACTGGGATCCCCGCATCCTCGCCGTGCGTTTCTCTAGGGCCTCAATCCGCATACTGTTCGTTGCAGTCCACGCACCAACTAGCTCCTCAGGTGAGCGAATACAGTGGTGGCAGCAGCTGAGGCTATTGATTGGCAGGCTGAGACAGGATGCCCAGGTTGTGCTTTTAGGCGACTTCAACCTTCACCTCCACAGACGGCACGGTGACAGAGTCGGGGACCTTACGTGGTCCACCCCGACTCCTCCTCCCTCCGCGTTCTGGACGATTCTCGATGAATTCGACCAGTGGACACCAAGTACGTTCTCGTGCTGTCACCCAGGCCCTTCAGACACGTGGCAATCCCCGAATGGCTCCGCCACTTCTAGGCTTGACTATGTCTCAGTACCTGCCACCTGGCAGGTTGCTACGGGTGCCAGCCGGGTCCTGCATGAGCTGGAATGGGGACAGGCAAGAGTCGACCACTACGCATTGTGTGTTGGCGTGCACTCTCATGTTGCCCTTGTTGCCCCACCTAAGGGGGGAAAACAAGAATTGATACGCACGCCATTGGTACTCGTGAAGGGAGAGAGAAGCTACGACAAATATGCCTTTCCTTGCCACAGCACTCTTGGGAACTCGACGTACATCGTCATGCTGCCAAGATCGAAGAGCATTTTCGTAGACTGCTGCCGGCAGCATTTCCCGCGCCCCGTGCCAAGCAGCAGAAAACTTATCTGCAGCCCGACACATGGCAACTCCGCAACCAGCGTGCGTGGTTACGTAAAAGGATACATTCCGCCACTAGGTTTGGGCACAGTCTCTCCCTTTCCTTCGCTTGGAGAGCTTGGAAATACCAAGGCAACATTTGGGAACCCAGTTCTCTCTTCTGGAGTCGTTGGCTCCGTTGCCTGCGGGATCTACCGGGACATATTTCGGCTCTGCGAGCGACCAGTGCTCAGCTCCGCGCACATATTCGACGGGACATCAAGGCGTTCCTCCACGACACAGCTGTGCGGGCCACATCCGATTCCACCAGGGACACCGTTCAGAGGCTAAGGGTCCTCACTGGGGGGCCCAAACGGAGGCAGCGCGGCTCCACCCCACTCCGCGCAGTCGAGGTCATGCCCGGTCAACTCGCCGCAACACACCAAGAGGCGAAGGACCGATGGATTGCGCATTTCTCCTCTATCGAGGATGGCCACGTGCAAGATGCCACCGCATTTGTCCATGCCTGTTACCGACGACAGGCAGATAGAGACTTGTCGGGATATGCCATTGCGCCAGCAGACATACCCACCCTAGCCGAACTTGAGGCAGCACTTCGGGACTCGAGCACAGACAGAGCCTATGGGCTAGACGGGCTCCCGGGGGAAGTTTTGCACTATGGAGCCCAGTACCTGTCTAAGGCGGTCTACCAGCTCCTGCTCAAATCTGCCTTCCGTCTGTGCGAGCCCATCCAGCACAAAGGCGGAACGCTCTACTTCATCTGGAAGCACAAGGGGCCCAAACAGTGCTGCAGCTCTTATAGGGGCATACTCGTCTCGTCCGTGCTTGGGGAAAGCCATGCATAAAACTGTCCGGAACCGATGCACAGCGCCTCTTGCCGCCAGCACGGTGCCACTGCAGGTCGGAGGATTGCCACAGTACCCAGTAACGGTCCCTGCTCACGCGGCGAGACTGTTTCAGTCTGGCTGCCAAACCAGAAAGCGATCACATGCCCTGCTGTTTCTGGACTTGCAGGAAGCCTTCTACAGGATCATCCGTCCTCTCATCACAGGTGACCATCCTACCGATGCTGAGGTAGCCCGCATTTGTGCCGCAGTTCAACTCCCTGCTAACACAATGCATGAGCTACGAGACTTCATTGGTGGTCCTTCCTTGCTTCGGGAAGCTGGCTCAAGTGCGTGGGCTGATGGCGCTGTGTCCGAGTCCCTCCAGGACACTTGGTTTAGGCTGCCAGATGAATCTGACATCGTTGTAACGCGCACAGGATCTCGCCCCGGAGACTCCCTATCCGATCTGGTCTTCTCGTTTCTATTTGCGAAGGTCCTTCAACAGGTCAGGCAAGCGCTGGCCCAAGCCGATCTCCTGGCACACATCCCTTGGGATGTTGAGATGCACAGCCGCCTGCAACCGTTTGATCAGGAGCCGAGCGGCGCCATCGGCCTTTCCGACGCGACTTGGATGGACGACCTCTCGATGTTCCTTATGAGTCCCGATGC